GATCTTTGTTTTTGTAACGAATATGTTTTTAGCCAGTAATTTAATGCTATAAGAACGGGGCGTGTCATCATGATAGACAGTTGTGATTGAAAGTTTCTCAAAGCTGACCGTCGGAGCTTCGCGAGGAGATTGAAGTGTTATTATTCCATTTCTGTTTTATTTTACCATGATAAAATGAGTTCAGCAGTAAACTATACTTTCTGACCTACAGGATCTGGTGGAGCACTGTTTATTCGGTAAGGTCAGGGCTTCATCTGGCTTTATTAGTTTGCTGATACAACGCCTAGCCATGATGGGGTAAATACAGGTGATTGTTATCTAGCAGTAATTCTCTTTATGGGTCTGAAATAGGGTGACGCGGTGGGGTAGTGGGTAGTGCTTGTGCCTCACAGCAAGAAGGTCACTGATTCGAGCCTCGGCTGGGTCAGTTGGCATTTCTGTGTGGAGTTTGCATGTTCTCCCCGCGTTCGAGTGGGTTTCCCCCACATCCCAAAGACATGTGGTACAGGTGTATTGGGTTGGCTAAATTGTCTGTAGTGTATGAGGGTGAATAGGTGTGTATGGATGTTTCCCAGAGATGGGTTGCAGCTGGAAGGTTGCATCGAACATATGCTGGATAAGTTGGCAGTTCATTCCACTGTGGCGACCCCAGATTAATAAAGGGACTAAGCCAAAAATAAAATAAATGAATAAATGAATGAATGAATGGGTCTGAAATAATACGTAGGAAGACAAAACTAATGCTAGCCTATCTCCACATTGATCCCCTGTAACGTTGTTTGAATTTGATTTACAGGACGTCTCTGAAATTTTGAGTTTTCAAAATGTTATTGAGTTAATCTACTGAATTTGCTGTTAGGAAATATTAATGTTCTAGAAACAGAATCTTATATAACAAATACAGCTGTGAATGTTAAGATTATTTATTTACATTATTTACCATTGGCTTTTTATTTGAAAACTCCTACTAAACATTAAAACAAATGTAAATTCCTCTTTGTCATATATAATTAGGGCATCAATTAACCTAATGAAAACGGAGGCAAAAAAATGATAAACAATTATGATGTTGCAGCAGCTGACGGACATCAGCTGATGTATTAATACTGCTAAGTTTATTGTACAAATTGACCAGGATTATTTTCTATAGTGCAGGGATGAGATGTGAAAATATCCTGTGGATATTTAGACATCTTGCTGTATTTATCTTTTAAATGCTGCATGATTGTTCCCGCATGGTAAATCGTTATCCATGGTGTGTATTTATTTATGTCTTTGACAAACTTAATCTATAACAGATTTCAGTAGTAAATTGAGTTAGTTATTTTAAGTGGAACAAGTTTTTGTAATTTATTTTTGGCAAGTACAAGTATTGTTCACTATAACTAAGGAGTAATACTTGTGCTTGCAACAAAACATAAAAGCAGTATTATTTTTATTATTATATTAACATAGAACGGAAATATTTTTACTGCAAAAAAAGTATTTTTACTATTATCATTATATTAACAATAATAAATTAAATGATTTGTACTGTACTGTATGCACTGTTCCATTCTTGTTTTCTTAAATAAATTACTAAAACTTGTTACACCTAAAAGAACTAAATTAATTACTGAAAACTGTCATAAATTAAGTTTGTCAAATTTAATTAATTAATTCATTCATTCATTCATTTTCTTGTCGACTTAAGTCCCTTTATTAATCCAGGGTCGCCACAGCGGAATGAACCGCCAACCCATCTCTGGGAAACATTCACACACACACTCATACACTACGAACAATTTAGCCTACCCAGTTCACCTGTACTGCATGTCTTCGGACTGTGGGGGAAACCGGAGCACCCGGAGGAAACCCACGCGAACGCAGGGAGATCAAACTTAATTCATTTAATTGTAACAAGTCGAAGTAATTTGTTTAAGTTTTCACTTTTTAAAGTGCAGACTCCAGTTTCAGCAGTCTTTTGTGACTGTTTGTGCTCGTCACGAGGCATTTTGCCTTCAAATTGTTCAATGGGAAAAGATGCTGCAGCGTCGTCCATATTTTTTACAGTCATTGGTTTGCACTAAATCACCATGGTGACAATTTTGTTTTTGTTATTTTATTTTCAAGATCTGAGGTGAACTATCTGCTGCTGCTTTCAGCAGTATGGATATAAATGTCACATAAAATGGTTTTTAAACTGACATTGGGAGCATTTAGCTGTAAATAAAGCACATAATGTACCTGAGGTGATCATTGCTATAGGCTGTTGTTCTGCTGACATTAAGAAATAAAAAGCATTTCTAAAATAGAAATTTTGTATGTCGCCATCGCAAATAGTTAGGACAAAAACATGGAAAAGATACTTTTTATTGCATGTCATGGTGTCATGTCTTGTGTTGTTATTACACAGTGTTACTCGTTATTAAGTGAGGAACTGTACTGTATAAGAAAACTTCACAGATATTTTGTAGAATATATTCTTTAAATTCATAAAAGTCTTGTAATAACACCCAGTAACTTTTTCTGCTGAGTCTCTTATAAAGGGGTAAAACTACAACAATTCGGAGACAAGGATAAACTATTTTTATATTTAAAACATGAACAATTTACATAATAAAATTACATATAATAAAATAATACAGAAAATCCTAACTCTGATATGAGCTTTGGAGAACAGGGAAGTCTTATCTTTTATTTTCCAGCACAACACATTGTTTGATATATGGGCTACGTCTACAGTAGAGTGGATACATTACAAAATGCTTTTTGCAAAAAAGCATTTTTTTTCTCTCTGTTGTGACCTTTTGTCCACACTGAGACATGTATTTTTTCTGTGAAAGCACAGCTTTTTGAAGACACTCTCCTGAGCTGATACATTTGAAAACACCTTTTTGTCCACCGTACTGTGGACTGTGAAAGCAGTGGTATCTGTAAATAATATACCGCTGTGTTCCTGCTATGTGCTGTACCTTTTCACAGTGATGGTATACAGTACATGTTACTTTGTACACTTGCATTATATTTCTGCAACGAACGATCTACTCATATCTGCAGTCATCAACACAAAAAGGTAATCGAGAGCTCAATGGCAGTGAAATGTGACCTGGACAAGTAAATCATTTACTATTTAAAAAAAATAAAATTGTGTCAGTAGGGGATAGAGCTTTATTATGTTTAGTCTCTCACTATCATCTCTCGCTGAGCTTTTAATAGGATTTATGCATGATCATTAAGATGATTTTTTATTTTATTATTTTTTTATTTAAGTGTGGATGAGCAAGTTTTGGAAAGCGTTTGTCAGTAGTGTGAATAGTATAATAGTGTTTGTAAAAAATATTGCAAATTATTATATGGCAATTGTGGATTTTTTATACTCCACTTTTTCTTTTTTGAGTTTATAGCTCAAAATTCAGTTTTTTTTTTCTCTATATCTGAAGAGAATGTCAAAAATACAGCAAACAAGCATACAATTGTAAGATATAAAAAAGTCTCAAAAGCCAATTATTATTATAATTATAATAATTACCAATAATTATTATTATTACATAGTTAATAGTGAAACCTGTTTAATCCCATTTTTTATTTAAAAAATAAAGTAACCTGTTTAACTGTGCCTTTACTGAATGAGCACTGTGCTATGTCCGACAGATCACACTATTATGTCTCTCTTTTCTTTTTCAGTCTTTTATAACCTGTTTTAACACATTTTAATCTGTTTTAATCATTTTTACTATTTGTTTTAATTTTCTTATACTTGTCTTTTTTATTTTTGTTTTTGTAAAGCACTTTGAATTGCCATTGTGTATGAAACGTACTATATCAATAAACCTGCCTTGCCTTGTCTTAATTTAGATATACAAAAATATATAAAAGAGAAAAAGTCTCATGAATGCATGCTGATGGACATGGCGTATCATATTTTTCTAAATGTCTACAGAAATAATTGTGTTCACCCTTAATTAAGACATGTATAAATAATTGTTAATCTTTCTTCTGTTCATCCACACAGATATACAAATGATATAAATTGCCTAAAATGTTTTAACCTTGTTTTATTGTGCTGCAATTTTTACTTTCCTTTGTTCTACTCTTTAGTTGTTATTTTTATTAATTTGTTTATTTTTATTTTTTTGCTTTGTTCTCATTTTATTTTTGTTTTGTTTTTAAAAAATTGTAGGTTGTATTTTTGTTTTATAATTTTTTTTTCAATATTTTGCTTGAATTTAATAGTATTATCTTTCAATTTCTAAATATGTTTGTTTAAGTTTCATAAAATAAGTTTGTTTCTAAATAATTTTTTTTTGAGAATTTTGCTTTCCTTTGAATAAGTTTCTGTTTTTTTTTTTTTTTGCTTTTCTTTTTGTTTTTGTTATTCTTTGTTGTGTTTTTGCTTTTGCTTTATTGGTATTTTTGCTTCGCTAAGTTTTGTTTAATGGCTCGTTTCCGGCTTTCCTTTGTTTAAAAGTTTGTTTGTATGTCTTTCTTACAATCATTCAGTCATTCATTCATTTTTCTAGTCCCTTATTTATTCTGACATAGGTTTTACCAGTACTGTGAAACACACATACACTCTCACATATACACAAAGGCCAACTTAGCTCATCCAATTCACTTCTTTGGACTGTGGGGGAAACCGGAGAAAACCACACATAAACGGGGAGAACATGCAAACTCCATACAGAAATGTCAACTGGTCCAGCCAGGACTCATAGTGACCTTTTTACTGTTACCCTGGTCTTATGACTTGTATTAGGTTTTGGTTTGTTTTGTTGTGAATTTTAATCTGGATTTTGTTTGAGCTTTTGTTTGAATACACTCCTAAAAGGGTGCTAAATAAAACTAAATCAAGTAGCACCTTAACCGCCCAAAAGAACAACAAAAGAACCATTACTTGTGCTATACTCAACCACACACACACACATACAAGGAAAGAGAGAATTCTGTATATGCTGATGTTCACCCTTAAATGCATGTATGAATGATTTGATTTGTCTGTCCTCTTCTCTCCCACACAGATATACACTCGTCTGCAGCGGCGAAACAACATGATGGAAAGAATCCGTGAAAACAAATACCGTAGCAGTGAGTCTAAACGGATAAACATCATGCTCTTTTCCATTGTGGTGGCATTTGCAGTTTGCTGGCTCCCGCTGAACGTGTTTAATGCAGTCATCGACTGGAATCATGAAGTGGCGATGAACTGTACCCACAACCTTCTGTTCTCTCTGTGTCACCTGACCGCGATGTGCTCGGTCTGCATTAACCCCATCTTCTACGGCTTTCTGAACCGCAACTTCCAGCGTGACCTGAGGGCCTTCCGACTCTGCAAGATTGTGTCGACGCGTGAAAACGAATATGACATGGTCGCCATGTCCACAGTTAACACAGACGTGTCCAAGATGTCTTTAAAAATGAGTAGCCTAGATCTCTGAGTTTTGTGAGTGACACTCGTTATGGCAAGCCATTTTAACATTAGATACTAGTACCATTTTGAAAGATACTAGAACAGGGGTCTCAAACTCAATTTACCTGGGGGCCGCAGGAGGCAAAGTCTGGGTGAGGCTGGGCCGCATAAGGGATTTCACAAAAAAAAGTCCTCAAATGTCATTATTAACAGTTTTAATTATTTCTTCTGAACATGAAGTGTCCTGAACATTAATAGAACATTGAGTGAAGATTATGAACAGTTCTTCTGAACATGGCATCTTTTGCCTATTTCTTGCTGCCAGAGATTTGACAGCGCTTCTTCTGAACCACATTTGGCTTTAGAGCGGAAGCAGTTGAGACCCTCAGTATGGCTTGAAGATGATCATCATTAAGTCTAGACCTGTACTTTGACTTATTGAAGTCCTAGGGAAAAAAGTGGGGGAACTCACTCAAAACTTCCATTCCCTCACCTAAAAAAAGGTGTATATATGTATAAATAAAACACCCCCACCCCACTCCAGTCACATCAGTCTGTAACAGTCTGTATCTACCTATGATATATCTAAGATGCAGAGCAGGCACGTGCACACATAGGGCTCAACCTGTGTAGAGCACATGCCCTTTGTAGTCTTGCGAAAGTGCCCTTCCAAAATGATCAAAAGTGCCCCCGCGACGCGACACACCCTCGGTCCCGCCCTTCAGTAGGCGCGCAATAACACCGCTCTTGAGTACGCGCGTGTCAACACAGCTGATAAGAACGCGCGCGACAACACGGCGGGCGGGGAATGCCAGTGACCGCTGTGTACGGATAGAATCAGCGAAGCGGGGAGAGAGAGCGCTTCCCGCTCCGCTGATTCTGTCAGTGTACAGCGGTCGGCGCGGGCCACAAAATATTGCACTGAGGGCCACAAATGGCCCGCGGGCCGCGAGTTTGAGACCCCTGTACTAGAACTTATTCATTAGAAACTACACTGTAATAATCTTTAAGTTTCCATAGTTTGTGGTTTACAAGTGTTTTCTGTTTATTTACGGTTGTGAATTGTATTATGAGCCCTTGATCTCTGCTCTGTTGACTTTTAATGTTAAAAATTCAAATTCACATTTTAAAAAAGTGCTTTTTATTGACATTTTTGTGAAAAAAATTTTTTTTTAAAATAAACTTAAGCATCACAATTATTGAGATTTCTTTGGGACAACTTCATTGTTTTATGCTGAATCCACTTAAATTTGTAAAAAAAAATAAATAAATAACTTAAATCCTTCATGTTGTCCTAACTAGGCATGGAACGATAACTGGTTTAAAGGGTTTACCGTGGTTTTGAAAAGTCAAGTTTTTAAAACCGTTCAAATTACTATTATATTGTTTCTAAGGTATTTGTAAGTTTTGTTAATTTACTTTTTTTAGGGCAACAGTAGAAAAGGAACCTCCACATTGCACGTTACTGGTCAGCCTATGATTCAGTAAACATCTGATAAACAAATCTCTTATAAACCAACATCCTGCATGCTGTAGAGCTGAACAGTGTAGAGGCTTACTTTATATCTAAAGAAAAGAAAGATATCCAAAATGTCTTTTCAAGTTGAAAAAAAATCTGTATTTTTGTAGCTAATAAAGACAGCAGAAGTCCATTGCCTATTTAAATTATTTAGCCTGACATTTATTGTTTAAAAATGTTTTAAATGTTAAAAAATATATACCATGTTTAATTGTTGTTTTTACCTAAAACATTGTTGTTTTTTACCCAGACATAAAAAAAAACCTTATTTAAGAGCAGTATTCACAACATGAAATCTTGGAATCATGATATTTTTACCCTAGTTTGTCACACCGTCAGAATCGTATACCGGCCCATGCCTAGTCCCAACACAAATTGATTGTGTGGAACCCAGCATTTTTTACAGTGTAGTTTGAAATAATATAATGTACTGTAAAAATAATATAATGTAATGTAAAAAAATATATACTTTTTTTAAGAGTAAATGTTGTTATAAAAGTAGATTAAGGCCCCATAATGCAATTCAAAAGCATAAATAAACAGGGAAAAATAGAAGAAAAAAAAAACATGAATCACAAAATACGGAAAACTACTAAATTTATAAATATTTTTAGTGTATCATGGATTAATTTGTTACATATTTATTACATACTAGCATTAATTCATTGGGCACTTGCCCTTAATATTAAAGACACTATTCATTAGTGACTAGTCACTTTTCTATTAGAAATTCAACATTTTTGGCATTGGCTTTTAGGGATCTGTCATTGTTCTATTTTCAATAATATGTATTCCAATTGTGACAATTCTTCATGTGCCAGTGCTTGTTCAACACTAGTACATATCATTACCTGCCAGAATAAATTACTGAATAGTAGTTATCGATTAGCTGCCAGTGTCTATTCAATACAAATTAGTAACATGTATTATATTATATTTTTGACTATAGCAAGTTTTTTTTTTTACTAGTAAGATATTTAATTGAACTCTCTAGATTACTAATAATAAAACAGAAGAGTTCAATATCTAACGAATAAGTTGCATATTTTAAAAAGGTACAAGTAACTACAGAATAAGCACTAGCTATTAAATACATCCTAGTACTTTAGAATCCCAGCTAACATTCTTAGAACATTCCATAATGTTTCTTCAGTTTTAACACACAACATTATTAAAATAATGTTTTTGGAATATTGATAAAAACGTTCTTAAAATGTTTATATAATGTAAATGATGTTTTGGTAACACTTTATTTTGATGGTCCATTTGAGTATTAGTAGAATGTCTGCTTAATATCTGTTGATACTGCTCCTTTAACAGACATTTTACTGACTATAAGGAACTTTACAAGTACATGTCAACTTACACTAACCCTAATCCTAACCCCAACCTAACAGTCTTCTTATAATCTACTGGGAATTAGTTGGCATGTAGATGCAATGTGACTTAACAACAGTATAACTTGTCAACAAATGGACCATCAAAATAAAGCGTGACCGATGTTTTAAATAATATTTAAAACAAGTGTTTTGTATAGAACAAGAATATAACCTGAGACTGAAATGTTATGAAAACATTTAGAGTAACGTTTCATAACCAAAAAATAACATTAATGCATAGTCTAAAATACTACATTTTGAATGTTTTAAGAACCCTTCGTAATAACTTTTTAATAATTTAGCGACAGCATTATGAAAGCGCTCTCAGAACATTTCCATAATGTGGATGGAATATTCTAATAACCTTAGAAATAATGTTCTGAGAACATTCATATGCAGTGCTCAGCATATATAAGTACACCCCTCACAAATCTATCTTTTAAATTCATATTTTATTAGCTATACAATATTATATTTGTGCAGATACATTAGATTAGTCAGTACTCAAGCAAAATCTGGAGCTTATCTAACAAAATAACTTACGATAACGGTCCCAAAATTACCACACCCAAATTTATATGTGAGGAATAATCAAGAGAAGCAAAACATTTTAAATTTAGTTGAAATTTTGTAGGTTGTGTTTTTAATTTAATTTTTTGCAATATTTTGCTTGATTTGATTGTATTATTTTTCAATTTCTAAATTTGTTTGTGACAAAAATATTATTTTAATAAATCTGTTTAATAATTCCCTTTTGTTTAAATGCACCAAAATACATTGCCTATATTCACTGAGAAATGGATACAAATATTGATTTTCAAAAAGGGCTGTACTCAGTAATGCTTAGCTCTGTAACATGAGACTGAAATGTTATGAAAACATTTTGAACAACATTATTATAACTAAAACATAATGTTAATGCATCGTCATTCTAAAAACATTAAAAAGTAATGTTATATAGCTTTAATAGGAACGGGCACATTTTTAGAGCCTTAAAATTGTTAAACTGGGATAGTATCAGAAAAATGAGTAGCACTCGTAGCAGCATATTAACTGTTAAAATGCTTGCCATACACTAAAGTCTGTCATCTGAAAAACATACTTGATCAAATATTTCATAAATTTAAAAAAGACTTAATCCAAAAGAATGTGAATTGAAATAAGAGAAACAATCGCAAAATTGTACATAAACCTTTGAAGCAACACATTCCTTGCAAAATCCTGCATCTGTAAGAGCTCATTGGGACCAAGTAGAATCTTAAAGACATGACAAAAATTATTTAGACGAGTGGACTGAGCTTTGATCGCTCAGATGAAATCTTCGTCTTGCTGCATATTTGATTTGGAGAGAAGAAAGGCAAATTAAGAATGAATGCAAAGCCCAAGAGGTCACAAATTCAGAGACGGACTTAAATGTATAATGAATGTCAGATGTGACTTTTGAGAGAGGCGCTGAATTTGTGTTGCTGAACTGGATTCATTTAGTGGAGAAAATCCCAAACTAAATTGATTTTCTTCTTATTTTTCCCTTGACTAGTCAAGCCTGCTGGAAGTAACAGGCTGTTTTTGACGCATTCACACTGACAGCAATTTGTAGCAACAAAGTGACCTGACATTGTTCATTTTCAAAGAGACTTGGCAATTTCTGATGACCCGAGTGACAGCAACTGTTGGCGACGTGACAAAGTTGAGCAGAGAGGCTCGGCAACCTCCAGCGATTCAAGCGCTGTCAGTGTGAACAAGGCTGATGTGCTGTTGCTCACAGTGGTTTATTTTAAACCAGAGGTGCCCAGTCCTGCTCATGGGTGGCCAATGTCCTGCAGTGTTTAGCTCCATCATTAATTAAAGACTCCTCAACCAGGTAATCAACATCTTTACGGGTGCTAGAAACTTACAGATAGGATTGAGCACCCTTTCTTTATCTGTTTTCAATCTCCTTTGTCTTTTGTTTTATTATGCCTTTTTTACTTTGATTTAATGTGCTTTGCTCTTTGATTAGTTGTGGATTTTGTGCTCTATTTTGTGCTTTGTTTTTTATTTTTGTTTTTACTTTAAGTTTTGTTGCAATTTATATATTTGCTTTGCTTCAGTTTTTGTTTTGCTTTGGTGTGAGTTGTTTATTTGCTTTGC